CGTGCCTGTCCAGGAGACAACAATCACCCCACACATTCCCCAGTGCCCTGATTTCATCTGCAAGTGTGGTCGGGCAGCAACAAACAGCACAGAGAGAACACAGGCACCACCCAGACTCCCAGGCCTGTGCTCTGTCCCCGGGCTTTGCTCCAGAACAATGACTAAAGCATCAAACACATCTGGATTTATTTGTTTTATTAAAAGGCTTGGCTGTTCGCTGCAGGGAGAACGGCCTGGTACCAGTTTCTCCAGTAACACACTGGGCAGAGCAGAGACAGGACACAACACCCACCAAGGCCTCTCTGTCAGCACAAATGCTTTCAGCATCCCCCGAGGGGAGGAAGGAAGGTGGACATGGTGGCCAGCCCACAGCAGGCTCTGGACAGGAGTCTAAACCAAGCAAACTGCTGGATTTTTTCACCATTAGGGAAGTCACTGCCCTTCAGCTGGAATGGGAATATTCCCTCAGCTCCCCTCCGTGTCCAGCTGACCCTGTGCATGCCCCCACAGCTCTGCTTTTGGTGGAGGATGGGAAGACAAAACTACTGTGGGGGTTACAGCGACATTTCCTCTGTTACCAGCTTGATTTACCAGCCTGTCCTCTCTCCTACTGGCCATTGTTTTGGTGAGCCAATGAGCAATCTGTTCAAACATAATTTAAGAAACAAAACAACCTGATCACAGCCAAGCTGGCAGGATGAGCCCACCTGTGGGCCAGGTAGGTGCTGTCCTGCAGTGCTGCCTGGCGAGCCCTGCTCCCTGCGGGCTGGCAGCGTGTGTAAACCAGTGTTGGAGCAGTGCTGAGTGACAAAGAACTGCCTCTGTCCTCCCCTCCTGCTCTGAGCTGCACCCAGACCCCTCAGTCCTCATCAGAGCTGTCCTCAGATTTCTCATCCCCCGCCACCTTCCAGTTCTTCCTCTTGCTCCTCTTCTCGGGCACCTCGCTCGGCCTCTCGGGCACGGAGCTGTGCCGCTTCTTCCTCTTCCTTGGGGGCCGCTTCTCCTTTTTGCCCTCGGATTCAGTGTCCTCAGAGCTGCTGGTGCTGGAGCTGCTTGCATGGCAAAAGTCACTCTCCTGCCCAGAAGAAGAGGTAGGTTCCTTGGCAGGCACTTTCCTGGGCTTTTTCTTGCGCTTGTGTTTTCCTTTCCGGGCGCTCGGAGTCTCCTCTCCTGAGCCCTCGCTCTCCCCCCGGGAGGAATCTGTGGAACTTCTCTCCTGCTCCTTTTTCTTTTTCTTCCTCTTTTTGTGTGAGCGCTTTTTTTGCTTCTTCTTGTGGGATTTCTTGGTTTTTTTCCTTTTGTGGGGCTCACGGGCTGTTTGTTTCCCCAGGTGGGATCTCTTCTTCCCATTGACAGCATTTTGCTCATCTCCTTCCTGCTGATCACTGGAAAAAGAACAGGAGGAGGTGAACTGGAAGCCACTGAGTGATAAAACTCATTTATATCCAATCTGTAAGCCTGAATAATATTGATGATTCTGCTGGGTGTAGGTTAAAAATAATTAATTCTGTCTTAAAATCTTGTTTTTCCACTGTCCAGGATACTGCAAGAATTTATTTACCTCCCAGACTCATCGATTTTGCTAACTCCAGCTAAACATGAATATCTTAATTAATACAAAAGATTCTCTGAAGACTCACACCACGTTAATGGATTTGAGTTTTTTAACAGTAAGGCTTTGCAGTCAAGGTTGATTTGTATTCAAAATTCGAAACTCAGTTTGTAAAATTCCCCTCAGAACTTGTCAGAAGGCAGATTCTGGATCCATCAGTAAGGGTGTCTGCCTTACCTGTCTGTGTCAAATTCTTCAGGATACAACTCTTTGTATCCACTGTGCCCCCACCTGTAAGAAAGCAGAACCATCCATTAAAAACAGACAATGTGTTTGATGATGATAAAAATGCAATTTTGAAAAGGCAAAGCCACAGAATGAATCTGAGTTTAGACAGGAAGGAAATGGGACTGATTTGCTTGGTGCTATTTAAATACACCTTATATTCTCAAAGCACAACTCTGATTTCTTTAAATCCAACCCTGGACTTGTGTTTCTTGAGATTTTCTAAGCTTTCTGGGCAGAGTAGTAAATATTAAGTTTAGGGCTGGGCTTTTGCTGCTTAGTGTGTCTTAGAAACTCCACTGATGAGCTCAAATTGGTTATTCTGTGACACGGCAGAAGTTTGTACATGTTATTCATTCTCAAAATGAGCTGAAGCTCTATTTCATCACAGCACACACCAAACAGAAACAGTGTCATTTTTTGGTACAGGGCTCCAAAAAGATGTTTTAATCACAACCAGAGAACACAGAATTCCCCCACAGACCTGTCTGGCATGTTGGCTTCACATTCATACAGCTTTTTATTCCAGGATCTGGCCCTGAGGAGATCATCTTCCACCAGGTCAAGGAGCTGCGGGTTCCTGGGTTTCCAGTCTGCCCTGTGCCCCTCCTCGTCGAAGCCGTCGCTGCGCATGCGGCTGCTGCAGAGAGGGAACGGCTCCTTCAGGGGGGGAGCACCTCCCAGAGCCCCCCAAAACCCCCTCACTCATTCACCTGGCACCTCCAACACCTCACGTCTCAATCAACACTCTGAGACCAGGCTCAAGCACAGGCCTGACCTCTTTGCAGGGAGTCGTTAAGGAGAAAATCAGTATTTCTGTGGTGTATCTCACCTGGAGGTGTCTGACAGCATTCTGCTCTGCCTTTTCCAGTAAGTCTCTTCTGTCTGCTTCTCCCACTCCCTTATTTTCCACATTTCTGTCTCTTCCTGAAGCTGAAAGTCACAGAAAGGGAAATGAGTTGAACATCATGGGAAATTCAGTTATGCAGCACCCACCTCAACACTCCTGGTAAGGAAACTCACAGCCACCTCTCCTACCATCCCCAAACAAAGGATTATTTACACATATCTGTATCCCAAACAGAACTTCCTGGTGCTGGTTAGACCTGCTGAATTATGATTCATGAAACAGTTTGCTAAACTTAATGGAGTTGCTTAATCTTGCACTAAAATCCTGCCTGTGCAAAACAAAGTTCAAATTGTTTCATGCAATTAAAAGCACATACACTGGGCAACAAATAAAATACAACAAAACCGATTTGAGATTTGCTACTTTTTAAGTAAATACAGACATATTGGGGTGAAACCGAAACTCGGGGAAAACCGGAACGGCGTTAAACCAAAAGTGACCCTGAGTATGTGGCGGATTTACCAAATTCCTTTGATTTCTGCCCAACGCTGCCGCTCTGCCCTGCAGCATCAGCAGCGGGGCACGAAGCCTGCCCCGCACGCCGGGATCTTCCCGCATCACCGGGCGGCACCGCCGGGGTGTCCCCGCAGCCCGGGGTGTACCAGGAGCACCGCCGGGGTGTCCCGTACACAGAGATGTCCCCGCACACCGGAGCTGTCCCCGCACCCTCACGGTGTCCCCGCAGCCCGGGATGTCCCCCACGGTGTCCCCGCACCCCGGGATGTCCCTCACGGTGTCCCCGCAGCCCGGGATGTCCCTCACGGTGTCCCCGCAGCCCGGGATGTCTCTCACGGTGTCCCCCCCGCAGCCCGGGCCGCCCCGCTCGGCCCCGCAGGCCCCGCCGGGCGCGGGCGGCCCGGGCCTTACCTTGTTGTGCGCTCCGGTGTGCCGTATGACGTTGCGCAGCAGCACCTTCCCCACGGGCACGCGGGACATGCTGCGGGCGCTGCCGCGGGCCGGCCCGGGCTCGGTGCCGGTGCCGGTGGCGGGGCTGGCGCTGTTTGTGGCGGCGGGGCCGGGCCGGGCCGGGCCGGGCGGGGGACGCGGAAACGCGCGGGGCCGCGCGCGCGCCGCTTCCGGCGCCGTCTCCGGGGCAACGGCGCCGCCATGGCCGTGAGGGCCGTGGGTTCCGGGCGGCCCGAACGGACCCGAACCGGCCCGAACGGACCCGAACCCGCCCGAACGGACCCGAACCGCCCCAGTTCCACCCGGCCCGGCACCGGATCCATCCCCGCCCTGCCCGCCCTGGCTCGGACCGCCTGGGCCCCGCTGCCGCAGCGATGGGCCCCGGACAGCAGGTGGCTGCTCGAAAGAAATTCTCTTTTCGGGGAAAAAATACCCCAAACTAAGGCAGAAATTGCCAGAAACACTGTGGCTGGGTAATGCTGAAAACGATAGTAATTTGAATCAATTACTTAACTAATAAAATTTAAGTAATGGTTTGATTTTAATTTTAAGGAATAGCTTACATTCAATTTTAAGTATTGGTTTAAATTTAAGTAATGGTTTAAATTTAAATAATGTTTTAAATAACATTTTAAATAATAGTTTTAATAAATTTTGAGTCTTATTTATAATTTATTTTGAATTGCCTTTTAATTAATTGTTTTCCGTAATTGTGGATATTCTTAGCCAGCATTTAGCAAAGCTGTTGTAAGATACTTCTGCACAAACACAGCTTGGGAAAACGACTGAAACTTCTTGAAGTTTTGGCAGATTACACAACAAAAGTCCAGAGTGAAAATCTTTGGTAGGAGTGGGGTTAAGGGCGTTTTTAATTCACTTTTTACTCATGAGGGGTGAATATCTCAAATGCCTTTAGAGATGCAAGCAGAAAAGGAAGACTGGAGGAACAGCAGCAAAAAATGAGTAAAGACTGTAAATATTCAAAGAATAGTTGAATATTTAGTTACAGAATTTGTTATGTGCTGTAGTAAAAAACCACCAACACCCACAGGCTTTACTGAAGGGACAGCAGGAACAGTGGTGATGTGTTTTTGTTAAATAAATAAATGGACAGGATGCCACGGTTAGGGCAGCTCTCTTCAAGTATTTAATGCTGGAATAACCTGTCCCACACAGCCCCACGGGTGAGCAGAGCAGAGAGGAAGCTGCAGACAGCAAAAAGCCAAAGATCTGTGATTAAATCTCAGGTTAATAGGGTGAGATGCACTGTGAGACTGAGAGGCTGCAGAGCACTGAGGCACAGCAGGAAAGCCACACACAACTGAAGAGAAAAGCACTGGGACATGGTTTAGTAGTTGTCAATTCCCAACATTTAATGGAACATGGGTTCACTAGAGCCAGTCTGGAATCAAGGTATTTCGGGTCATTCAAGAAAATCCAAAATCTTAATGCACTTTTTGCGCTTAAGCAAGGCATCACAGCAACCAGACACTAAATAGTTCCCACAAAAATATTTAATTTCCACAGTATTTTCTTTCAGTATCTTTAGTGAATTATGTAGAATTTTACAGGAGACAGTACTTAATGCAATATACAGAATAACAGGATCAGCCTGAACAACTTCTTCCTTTTTTTTTTCCAACTCTGCCCCCCTATTTAATTCTCCTGGTCACTCTGTCATTACTGCATGTTTGTCCTTTTTTTTTACATGAACGTTTCCATGTGGAAAGTGGAATTTCAGAATGTTCAGCACTGCAGCCCTCGCAGGGTGCAATGCCTGGGGTAACTGGACACGAGTCCAACAGACTAGAGAAGCACCTTACATACAATATGTACATGGAGAGCACATTCTGCAGCTTCACTGGGGCTGGACAACACGGACAATCTGGGGAAGGTCTGCAGTTCCTGTGGCTTAAGTCAGAGCTTCCTATGTAAGAATGCCTGAAATGAAAAATCCCAAACATCCCAGTCCTCACATGATTCCCATCCCCTGCTGGGGTTATCAGCATGTGTGATTTGCCTGCACTGCTTTCCAACACACACTGGACATTCTGCAAAACAGTGACTTCCATGGCACCAGAGCCCGGGGTTCACTCAGCCACAGGAACAGCAGCTGCAGAGGTTCCACAGCAAAGCAGATGGCAGTGGGACCATGAGAGACAGCACAGCAGGTTGTGTGGGGTGCCCCAGAGCTGGGACCCACAGCAGCACAGCTCCTTCACCCTAAAGTGCTCAGGGAGCTGAGAAGGTCCCGGCCAGAGCCAAATTCCAAACAGGTTTGGAACAGCAGCCTGGCCTTTGGGACTGTCCCCAGCCCTGCTGTGCCACCCCCAGCCCAGAACAGCACGGGGCAGGTCCCCTCCTCTTGGCCCTTCTGTGGCCCTCTCACCTGTGCTCCTGGCAAGAGATGTTTGAAACTCCAGGCTCTGACAACACCGAGGTCATGAAAGAAAATGTTGGTGTGCAGCCCCTGGGCACCCGAGTTTAGAAGCAGCTGGCACAATGCCAGGATAATTTTGTTTTATTTAAAATCTGGGACGCTTAACTCTGTTTTGGAAGAGTTTGCAAGTTAACTAACTGTATAAAAATACAGTGTAGCTGTAATATTGCTCTGAAAAGCACTTTTGCAAACTTTTTTTTTTTTCTGTACAGACTGGTAAATAACATTACCAGATAATATAATACATTTTTTTAAATAAAAAAAGGAACTCTCTCAAAGTCTGAACACTAAAGTCTAAATAGCTTGTTTAAAACACAACAGTGTGACCCATGAAAATTCTGCTTTGCATGGTTAAATTATAGCAGCATGGTTACTGGCTTTTCAAGGAAGTTCTTGAACTCAGCAAGCCACTGTGCTCCAACTGCTCCATCCACAACACGGTGATCACAGCTCAGGGTGACAGACATCACGCTGGCCACGTCAAAGCTGGGAGAAAAACAACAAAACAAGGGTTAACACGCTCCTCTGCAAGGCAGTGCCACTACAGAGCAGAGAGGCTGCTTGGAGAGCCAGGAATAGCAGCCTGGTGACTGATGTTTCCCCCATTTGCACTGGGGAGCAGATCATGTTCATTCCTTCTCTGAGGAAAACCAAGGAAGGAGCTTCCCAGAGGCACTAAAAACACCTCTGTGTGCTCTCCTGAGGGCAGGGAGCTCAGCTTTCCTTGCAGCACAAGGACAGCCCCACACCATTTTAGCTCCAAGCAAGGGGATATTCACACAGGGCCCATCCTTGAGGATTTCCTTAAATGCAAACTGAAGCAAGTACTGAAAGCACTGTGTCAACAATACATTTTAGTGTCTTTACAATTACTGTCTAAGGTAGGTGTTAGGAACTAGGCATGGCTTCAGAGTTTGAGTCCAGGATCAGATGGAAACTCACCCTTTCTCATTATCAGCTGGCACCAGTATTTCTTTTGAGGAACCCACTGCCAGGATGCAGGCTTGAGGTGGATTGATTATGGCAGAGAAATTCTTAATCCCATACATTCCTAAATTGGAAATTGTGAAAGTACCACCCTAAAAGAAAACAAACACATTCATGGGCAAACTCACAAAAACTGTTTTATGTGGGAATATGAGGAGAGGGGGGACCTCATTCCAGTCTGCAACTTCCTGAGGAGGGGAGGTTTTTGGTGAGCAGGGACAGGATCCAGGGAGAGCTGGAGCTGTGCCAGGGGAATTTGGGATGGATCTCAGGGCAAGGTTCTTCCCCCAGAGGGTGCTGGCACTGCCCAGGCTCCCCAGGGAATGGGCACAGCCCGGAGGCTGCCAGAGCTCCAGGAGGGTTGGATGGTGCTCCAGGGATGCCCAGGGTGGGATCTGGGGTGTCAGGGCAGGGCCAGGGGCTGCATTCAATGACCCCTGTGGGGCCCTTCCCACTCAGGACATTCTGTGACTGCTGAACAAGGCTCCAACATCACAAAGCAGCCTTTGCTCCTTTCAAGCAAGTCAAGAGCAGCAGAGTTTAACACCACCTCGGGTGTCTGACCTGGAACTCGTGGGGCTGGAGCTTGCCCTCGCGGGCTCTGGCTGCCAGGGAAGCCACGTCCTTGCTGATGGCAGCCAGGCCCTTGATGTGGGCGTTGAACACGATGGGGGTGATGAGCCCTGCGGGGGTGCTGACAGCCACACTCACATCCACCACGTGATTCCTGCAACACACACAGCAGCTGAAAGCACTCCAGCAAGGCAGCAAACAGGAAAAACAGAAACAGTCCAGACAACCCAAAATTAACATGAATTTGTGACAATTATTTCACCTTGCCCACCAGCCTTAGACTCAAAGATTTTATCGTTTTAACAAAACCTCTCAACTTCACATCATATTTTTCCCATCCCTCAAATCCCAGCAGAAGTTCTGTTTTGCCATGAACAAAGGAAGTTTCTGGCTCTGACCATGCCATAAACTTACTGCCTAATAACTGTGTCCATCCATGAAGAATTTGCCTCAGGCACTTTCAAGCATGCCAATGCAGAAGCTTTAATTATGAAATCATTGACAGAAAGCTTGATGTTCTCTGAGACCTCCTGCAAATGAAGAGATTCCAGGTGTCAGTTTGTCCCCTGAACATCCCCCCAGCTAACAAGGGCAGTCACTGCAGTTCACAGGAAACAGAAAACAATCACACCACTTGCAAGCATTAAAATTCAGGGATAATTTAGAAGGTGAAAGTATTTCCTTTATAATTTAAGAATGTAGGTTTTGTTAATGTTCGGTTTTCTTCAAACTTGGCTTGGAATTATTTTACCTTTCTTCTTATTAAAAATCTTCCTATCCTTTTATTTTCCACCTGAAAAAATGAATCACCACCAAGCAGAGCTCAGAACAGCCCCTTAGGGAAGTCAGGAAGGAGCAAGCATGAGGAAAATCTCATTCTGTCACAGACAGTCCAGAACTGACCCACAAAAGGCACTGAAAAGAATGGTTTTTTTCCCAAGCCAAGATGCCAGACCTCACCTGATTGAGCTCCTTCCTTAGCACCAGGACCTTCCCCATGTTGACATCAATGGACAGGTAGTAGTGAGGTATTGTTTGTTTGGACTGCATCAGCCTCTGAGCAATGACCTGGGGTGTGCAGAGCATGAACACAGATCAGCCTGGAACCCTCCCAGCCAGAACAAGGGCTTGGCACAGACTGAGCCCTTACCCTGCGGATGTTGCTGATGGGGATGTCTGTGAAGGTCCCCTCGGGTGCTGCTGCCACCCCAGGAACTGCCTCCGGAGCTGCAGCCTGCAGGGAACACCAGTGTCAGCCCAGAAACAGCCAGAGGGAGCTCAGTGCCAAGGCCAAGCTGCCCCTTGGGAAGAGCAGCAGCCATTTCCACCTCTCAGTGCCCACCAAGCTCCTTCCAACCCCTCTGTTTGGTTACTAAATGCAGCATGGAGTGATTTAACAGCTCAGCACTGAGATGTGCTGCTGTGCAGCTCCCAGCCCAGCCAGTGCTGCTCTGGTGGCTGTACAGAGAGCAGAGCTGTGCTGGGGGGGCTCTCCCAAACTGCAGCACACAGAAAACACCTCCATCAGCTCAGGGACAACACAAACCACAGCATCAGAGCACTTCTGGGGCAGCAGTGACAGGCTGGGCTTTGCTGGGCCTGGCTTTCCTTCTGAGCCCCTCTCCCCAGCAATCTGGACCAGCTGGGACTGGGTGACCTCAGCCCATGAAGATTTAGCAGCCAGAGGAAGGGCTGGGAGCACACTATTTTAGTTTTCAGTGGAATATCAAAGGGACAAACAAAGGGAGAGGGCTTCACCAGTGTTTCTGGCAGGTTAAATTTCCCAACCTTACAGTCACCACCACCCACAGAACCCAGCAATGCCTGTTCCATGCAGGAACTGCCCTTCCACAGAGCTTTCCATGCCTGTAAAATCCACTCCCACAGATTTCCAGCCTACTCACTGGAGCAGCCTTTGATGGCACAAATGACTCCACATCTTTTTTGGTGATTCTGCCATCTGGTCCAGTGCCTGAAAGGGACAAAGGAAAACGAGAGAGGATTTTGGTTATTTCCAACATGGCTTTGCTTCTAAAGCCGAGTTTTATTCAGCTTTATTCAACAGAGAGAATCATTGAACACAACTCCTGGCTCACAGCTGCACAGTCAGAAGAACAGGAAAGCATGGCTCTACAGGGACAGAAAACTGACAGTGGGAGCAAAGCAGTGGAAAGGGAAGGTACCTTTCACTTGGGTAAGGTCGATTCCTTTCTCTGCTGCCAACTTCTTTGCCAGGGGACTGACCACGACCCTTCCTCCTTTGCGGGGCGGCCCTGCTGAGGGGGCTGCTGGAGCAGGGGCAGGCTGGGGAGCAGGAGGAGCAGCTGCAGGGGTTGCTGCCACCTTAACAAAGAATCAAAGCCATCAGTGGAACCCACAGTAAGAGAACTGGCCCATCTAATTATCAATCAAGAGATAATGACTCGTGTGCACAAAGGCTCCCGAAAATTAAATCAGAAACTCACTGGGAAGGAGGTCAGCTGAATAAAAAACCAAATAAAATACAGAACTTGAGCTCCCCATTTTCAAGGATGAGGAATCAGAACTGGCACAAGCAACAAGCTGGGAAAATGATCAGAATGAATGAAACCTGCTGTAAGTCTTGGAGGGCAAATTAGTGATCACTTCTCAGCACATGGATCAGCCTTGCACTCAAAAATCAGAACACTCCAGTTGAAGCCTGAGCTTCACACTATCAACAACAGCTCAGCTCAGGCTTTTCAGTGGTGCCCATGAGTTCTCCTTACCTGTGGAGGAGGAGGAGGGGGAGGAGGAGCTGGTGCCTTCATGTCAGTGACTGCAGCAGCCTGGTAGTCAGCAAAGGCTGGAATATCAGCCTCCTTCTCCACAATGATGCACAGAGGAGTTCCTAAGGGCACATCTCTTGTTCCTTCAGGCACCAAGATCTTTGCCAGGTAGCCTTCTTCCTGCACTTCAAAGCCTGCAGGGGAGAGAAACAACACTGAGGAGCTGAGGGGCTGCTCCAAGTGCTGCTGCTGGAGCCTGGCAGTGAAGCAGGAGAGCCCTTTCCAGCAGGGAACCTCTCCATGCACCTGCTAAGAAGGATTGATGAGGAAATAGAAATGTTTTTACTGTCCCACAGCACCACCCCCTGAGCAGGCAGAGGAGCTCCCAGAGGCTGCTCAGGACCCTCCCAAGGGCACCTCACCCACCCTGGCTGGGGACTCACCGATCGTGGCTTTGTCTGTCTCAATCTCAGCCAGCAAATCTCCCTCATTCAGCTTCTCCCCAACCTTCTTCTCCCACCTCTGCACTGTGCCCATTGTCATGGTGGGTGACAGAGCAGGGAGGGTGATCTGGGAGGGCACAGAACACAGCACAGTCAGACCCTGCTCATCCCCAGGGCTCAGCAACACAGCCTGGACTCCTGAGAAGCGATGCCAACCTAAAGAAGCAGCTTTAATGCACTCCTAGGCTGGCTCCATGGCAGCCAAACAGAGCTGTCCCTCTGTGCTGCTTTGGCTTCTGTTAGTGAGGCCTGAGCAGGAGAGCCAGCAAGAGCAGAGGGCAAGAAATGGATAAATCAAAAGAATCATCACCCTGCAAGGCTAAGGAAGGCTGCAGCAAGTCCCTCTGTCACTGTGACACACACATGGGGAGCAAAACTGGGCAGAGGGGGCAAGCAGAGGGAAGAAAGCAACTTTAGTAGCCAAAACACACATTTAGAAGCCATCCATTGATTATTTTATTCCTGACTTTGAGTAACATCTCACACAAATCAGTTCCCCCATGCTTTATCTGTGGGATGGGGTTCAATATTCCAAATTTTCCTTTTCAAAGCAAGCCCCTGTACAAAATGCTCAAATCCATCAGTGGATACACTTCAAAACCCAAGCAAAGCAAAAAGATTGTACCCACAAACACAATTCATTATTAGTCAGCCACAGACACATCTGGTGTGGTCACCAGAGCACCACAGGCTGCAGTTCTGCTCTGAGATATGAGCAGAGCCTACTTACACTAAGCACAAGGGCTTTTTGCACCACAACTGTCCAAAAAATGCAGATTTAACACATTTTTCAAAGCAACAACCGTGGAGGCACAAGTCTCTCCTCCACCAGCAGCTGGGATGCTGAAATGAATTTATTAAAAAAGCTTTCTGGGGTGTCCCCCAACACCTGCTCTAAGCACACCACAACTGAAGCAGCACAGTTAATAAATTCTCCAGACAGTTCTTATGACAAAATGCCCCACAGGCAGCAATGCTGGGGCAGAAAAGGAGTGCAAGAAGCCTTAAAGCAGGAGCAGTGCTCTCTTACCTGCATGTGAGGAGGGTAGGAGCTGCCAGGGGCCTGAGGAGAAGGCTGAGGTGGTGGGGAGGGGGCTGCAGCTGGAGGGGGAGGCACTGAGGCTGGGGGGGCAGCAGCTGCTGCAGAATCCAGGGTGTAGTTTTTGAAGGCATCAATAAATTCAGGCCTAGAAGAACACACAGAGCCCCAAAGCCCATCAGGTGATGGTCTCAGTCTTTCACTCAAGGCACCCCAGAAGCCCCAAGAGGGGAAATTCACATCAAGGGTTAGGAAAATACATACTTTTCTACTGTGATACATATTATGGCCCCAATAGGAACATCTCTTGTTCCTTCAGGCACCAGGATCTTGGCCAGGTAACATTCCTCTACGCTCTCAAAGCCAACTGTGGCTTTGTCTGTCTCCACCTTTGAGAGAAAACAGCAAATGGTGAGCCCAGAGCCTCCCAGTCTGTTGCAGGGTCACAGTTCTGGAACAATCACCCTGAGGCAGCAGCTCTAGGGAAGTTTGCCCTCAAACCAGCTCTGAGAGGCTGACAGCCACTCCTTCCCACCAGTACCCCTTGGCACCTGGGATCCAAAATCTGCCTTCAGCCAGGGACAGCCCCTAGGCCAGACATGCAGCTCAAGAGAAACAGCCCAGCCTGGTCCCCAGGATATTTCTGCTATGAGATCCCCTATGAGATCCCCCTCAGCCCAGCCTGGCCCCCAGGATATTTCTGCTATGAGATCCCCTTCAGCCCAGCCTCCTCCCCAGGATACCTCTGCTATGAGATCCCCTATGAGATCCCCCTCAGCCCAGCCTGGCCCCCAGGATATTTCTGCTATGAGATCCCTTTCAGCCCAGCCTCAACCCCAGGATATTTCTGCTATGAGATTCCTTTCAGCCCAGCCTCATCCCCAGGATATTTCTGCTATGAGATCCCTTTCAGCCCAGCCTGGCCCCCAGGATACCTCTGCTATGAGATCCCCTTCGTTGATCTTGTCCCCCTCCTTCTTCTCCCAGCGTGCGATGGTGCCCATCTGCATCGTGGGGGACAGCGCTGGCAGTGCCACCTGTGAGGGACAGGGCAGTGTCACAGCCAGGCAGATGCAGCAGCAGGCAGCACGCATGGGACAGAGACAAATCCTCAGCTCAGCCTGGATGTGGGGCACAGATCTGCTGCAAATCCCCAGCACTGCCCCAAGCTGCTGGTGAAGGACCCTGGCAAAGCCACAGTGGGTGCTGAGGGCAGAGGCTGTGCTTGCCCCATCCCTGGAAGTGTTCAAGGTCAGCCTGGGTGGGGCTTGGAGCAACCTGGGACAGTGGAAAGTGTCCCTGCACATGGCTCTAAGGTCCATTCCAACCCCTTGGCACTCTGTGATTCTCCCACGAAAGGGTTACAGAAAGCCCGCTCTCAGCCTGGGTCTGCCAAGGGCCAACAGGGAGCTGGGATAAAGGACAGAGGTGATGGAGGGAGCACCCAACAGCCACCCAGGGGCTTGAGGCTAAGTGGTGCCAAAGACCCAAAAACCATCGATTTTCTCCCAGTTTGGGCGGCCAGGCGTTGGAACAGGATTACCCACAGAAGTGGCAGAGCTCCCATCCCCGGGGGCGTCTAAGAGCCGTGCGGGTGGGGGGCTCCAGCGCAGCGCTGGCTCGCTGATCCTAAAGGACTTTTCCAGCCTTGATGATCCCATAACTCAATTCCCGGGGCAAAGTGAGCCACGCGGGGAGGGGACGGAAAACGGAGAGGGGAAAGCGAAGGGGCAGGGACGGGGAAAGGGAAGGGGCAGGGAGGGGGAGAGCGAGGGGGAAAGCCAAGGAGGAGGGAGGGGGAGAGCGAAGGGGCAGGGACGGGGAAAGCGAAGGGCCAGGGACAGGGAAAGGGCAGGGACAGGGAAAGGGCAGGGACGGGGAAAGGGAAGGGGCAGGGAGGGGGAAAGCGAGGGGGAAAGCGAGGGGGACACGAGGGACAGCGGGGCAGGCTCCGGGTGTGACTCTCACCTTCTGGTGCGCCGGGAGGCTGCAGCAGCGGCGCGGGACGAGCCGGGGCCAGGCGGGCGGCGGCAGCAGCGGGCGAGGCGCGGGGCCGCCCCAGACCGGGCCGCGCCGGGCCGGGCCAGCCCCGGCCCCGACCCCGGCCCCGAGCGCTCGGCGGGGCCGCACCAGGCCGGGCGGCCCGGCCGCGCCCCGGGACACGCGTCGCGCCAACACCCGCCACATGCTGGGGCTGGGGCTGGGCTGCAGCCGGGCTGGGCTGGGCCGGGCGCACCGGGGCCGGCGGCGCTCGGTGACCTCCGTGCGGGCGGCGCGGCGCGACACTGGGGCGGCCGTAAAGCGGCGGCGGGCGGGAACCGGCCCGCCTCAGGAACCGCCTCGGCACGGCCTCGGCACCGCCTCAGAATCGCCTCAGCACCGCCCTGCCCGGAGCGGCGAGTGTATGGGGCTCCGCCTGCCGAAAACGGCATATGGGGCTCGTTCTGGCTCTGCGCAGGGCTCAGCCTAGGGAAAACGGGATATGGGGCACTGTGTGGCGCTGCACAGGGCTCAGCCTAGGGAAAACGGGATATGGGGCTCGTTCTGGCGCTGCACAGGGCTCAGCCTAGGGAAAACGGGATATAGGGCACTGTGTGGCTCTGCACAGGGCTCAGCCGGCAGAAAATGGGGATATGGGGCTCGTTCTGGCGCTGCACAGCTCCCTGGAAGAGGGGACGGCCGCGGATGGGCTCTGCTCCCCGGGAACGGGAGGGAAGCGGCTGTGGATGGGGCAGAACACATTAAATACACCCAGGGGTGTCAGGGGACAGGCCAGGCTCCGTTCAGTCCTAAATTAAAACATACCAAGTTCCACCTCAAGCTAAGCAAGTTTTTTCCACGGAGGGCGGGTTTGTTCTGAGGTGTGCTCTCGCTGCCATATCCCAGGCTTGTCTGTTTCACTGCTTACAATTGGTTTATTTCTGCCAATATCCTCAGAGTTACTTTCCTGTTCCTGTACTTGATAACTTGATCTTGTAGCAACATCTCTGGAGTCAGTAAAAACTCATTTAAAATTGACACCTTTTGCTTTTATGGGGGAGAAACCTCCCAAAGCAAACTGCTCCTCCGGTAGCAGAGAAGGACATGAGGCTGGCCAACAATAGACCTTGAAAAGCTTCGAAATTTGCTCCATGAAACTCCAGCCCGGGTGTGTGGCTATTGCTGGAATAAAATCAATGAGTAAAACCCAAAGAATGAAACACTTGTGAGAAGTTTGCAATTCAAATACAATTGATCTCAGTATCACAAGCCCATGCCCTCTTCACTTGAGACCATGCAACAGAGAAACTGTGTCCAGGGGAGAAAGAAAATCATCGTTTCTTTTCCAAAGGGATGTATTTCCCCCATTAATTATAACCTGTTCATTGATGAACTTTCCTCCTGCTGTCTGTAAGCAGAAAGTCACACAAATTGTCCAGAACAGGAGGCAGCTTGTGTTGTGCCAATGTGGCACAAAATCACGTAGGACCCTTGATATAAAACCCAGTATCAACCAATTGGATTTCCATAGTAAGATAAAATTACAAGGCCAGTGTTGTGTCAACAGAAGACGATACAAAACATCTCAGCATCCACCAGGAAAGGAGTAAAACACAGTATAATGCGTGCAGAAATATACAGAGAGCACTTGCACTAGTATAAAAATATCCACAGTCCTCAGACAAATGTGAATCGGTACAAAATAATTTCAAGAACAGGTTTACAAAAGGACATGTTAATATAAAACAGTAAAACCAGGTTGCCCCCTTTTCCAGCCTCATGCACAGCACACACAGACAGTCCCACAGGAGCTGGGAAGGAGCAGAGCCCATTTGACCTCCCAAGCCCACGGGCAACGTAGAGGAAAAAAACACAAAACCAAAGGGAAAAACCCACCCTTGGGGGATTGTAGGGCTTCTTCTTTCCCCAGCAGTTCTTTCCTGATCCTTCAGGACTCAGCATAGCAAGGAACTGGTGTGGGTAAGTGCTTGGTGGCCCTGGCAGTGGGGACAGCAGCAGGGGATGCTTGTGCACAGGGGGTGACAGCAGAGAGGGCAGGAGCACAGGGACAGAGGCTCAGCAAAGACCTCAGGGAGCAGCTGATGGCAGCTCCCCCACCCGTGAAATCCTTCAGCAAACAAACAAGCACCGAGATCCCAGAGTCCCCACAGCTGCAGAGCAAACCCCGAGGGCCTCGGAAATGGGAACAGCTTTGGGAAGTGGGGAAGGCAGGGCTGGAAGGAGGGAGCCTGAGTTTGGGAGAAAGGTTGGTGAGCTTTGTTTCAGACCATGCATCAACCCTCCAGAGGACTCTTCCCTCACCCAGAACAGGTCTGGTCAGCCTGCAGTGTCCACAGAGTCACTCTGCTCCTGCAGGACAACAGCTGGTCCAGCAACCTCTTCTCCATGAAGGCAAGGCTTCACATTTTCACCATCAGTGCAGTTTTCTGTGACACCAGCACAGGAGATGCCCAGCTGAGCCCGCAGCACACAGTGCAGGGATGGAGGAGAAGGGGGCAAAGCATCCTTAAGGCCTCCAGGGTTTTTCTGGCAGGGCTGAGCCGGGTGTTTCTGTTCCACAGAGCCGTCCCTGCAGCCTCAGGACAGCAGCTGCCCTCGGGCACGGGCACTCAGGTGCCAGCTGTCCATGCACACAGCCTGCACCACCCGTGGCTGGCACAGAGGCTCTTTTTTGGCAGCTTGAATTGGCCTCCTCCCAGCACCTGGGCTCCTTGGTCACTCTCTGAGCTCTGCAGACAGTCACAGGTTTCCATAGAAACAGGGCTTGAAAGATCCATTAATTCTCCCCATGGTCTTCTTCCACCCAGGCCACGATTTTCCCCTCCCAGCCAGGAATGATGTCATCGTCATGGAACACCTACCAAAAAAAAAAATTAAAAAAATAAAGTATTTCAGTCATGTCTGGGGACTGGAGACAGGGTTCTGCAGTGTGAGTGGCATCAGGGGCATGAAGTCAAATCCTAGCTCAGATTTCCCAAAATAATCCAGGGAACACATGGCAGTGATGGCTGAGGTATGAGTCACATTTTCACAATTTAGGTAAATAACAGACCAGGCCTCATTAACCAATGAATATCAGGGTTATTGTCAGCCGTTTTTTTTTGACATTAAAGGTAAACTAAAGACAGGAATCACGGCTTTTCTGAGCCAGACCACGACCTCCAGCTGCTGCTGCTGCCTGTCCCCAGAGAGGGTGACCCTTTGCCCTTGCCCTAATCAATCTGTGAAGCAAGAACTGTCCCAATAACCTGAGATGAATCCAATCCACACCCACGCCAGCCTGAGCACAAACAGGGCTGCACTGCAGCACACAAAGGGAACGATGCCACACACACAGAGCTCTCTCTGAAAAACCTTCAGAGGAAAGGAAGAAATTGTACGTTTAATACAGGCTCTTCCATTGCAATGGGGTTTATAAAACCTGCAGCCCAGATTTGTGCTGTGTCCCTGGGCTGTGTCACAGGCTGGCTTTGCCCAAGGGGCTCTGCAACTCCCAGGCAGTCACAAGCACATCCATGGAGTTGCTGAGGATGAAAATATTTTAGCACAACAGGAGCTTAACCCACGGCTGGGAAAGCAGACAGTTGTGTTTGGGGGAACATCCACTATTTCATTAGCTTAAAAGTGAGGTGACCATGGTCCCCAGGGCTGTGTGCTGACACTGATCCCAAGGCCAGTCCCACTTTTACCTCCTCCTTCACTGTGCCAAACTCTGGGTCCAGGGCTTTGAAGTGGTACCGATGGGTTCCTTCCCTATCGATGGCTGCCTTGAAATCCCTCAGAGTCACTTCCCCTAACCTGCAAGGGAAATAAATGCAAATACAAAACACAAAAACAAAGCTCAGGGACTACTGCAGATAATCTTCCCCAGCCAACAGCATGATATCCAGTTAAAAGAACAGCAAACCTGTGCTGGCTGGGAGCATGCCCAGGAAATCAGAGTGCTGGTTTTAGGGGCACAGGAGGCTTAGGAAGGCCAGGCTCACCTCTTTGGTATGCTGACCATGAAGGGGGTGAGGGAGCGGTCGGTGAAGTACAACACTTTGGTGCAGGCACTGGTGCTCATCACGGGCGTGCTCTGAGAGTGAGGCAGCTCTGCAAGGCAGCAACTCCCTCATTATCATCCCTTATCATCATTATCCCTCCCCAGCTTCCTGTTCCTGCTGGCCAGGATGGATGGTGGTGCATGGATTTTAATTTGTCCATTTGTGTTTCTCTCCCCAGGTCCTGCCTTGTTTCCTGCTTCCCCCCAAGAGCTGAAACAGAGGAACTGAACTCCACAGTTTTAAGGCTCCTTTTATGCAGAGAATACTCTGCACACACAGAAATGTGGTGTTTAAAAAGGAAATGTGGTGTTTCATTCTGTGGATATGAAAGGCAGTAAACACTGAGCAGGAAACACTCCTCTGTCCCCACTAGATGGTGCACAGCAGCAGAAAGCTGGGATGACATCCCTTTTCCCAGTGATTGCCGTGCTTATTTGTGCTGCAGCCCTGCCCAAGAGGCCCAGAGCAGCGCTGTGATGGTGGATGATTTTTTCTTTTCACAGAACACCAGCCATAAACATGTGTCCCTTCCCTTTGCAGGGAGCTCTGCCCCAGGGAGGATCCCGGAGGGGGAGATTCCCAAGGGGATTCTACACCTGGGAACTGAGCAGTGGATTTGGCAGTGGAAGGGCAGGATCTGCCAGGCACTTACTGGATTTGGGAGGCCAGGAGTCTCTGCACTCGTTGGTTGCTCTGCTTGCTGGTGATTTCCCCCTCACCTGGGGCACAAAACCAGAAGAACAGAGTGTCAGCTCGCAGGCAGAGCCAGGCCGGGGTGTGAGGGTGTGAGGGGCAGGAGCTGAGCGCCCAGGGGAGCCTTTACCCTCCTGTCCTGCCTCTTGTGCGTCTCCATGCGGTGCAGGCGCTCCATGAGGCTGGAGATGCCCTGCTCCAGGCTGTCGATGGTGTGGTGCTGCGGGTCGTGCCCGCTGAAGCTGTTCCTGAGGCTGCGCAGCGCGTCCCGCACCAGCTGCAGGTCACTGGTCTGCCCAAAACAGCACAGCTGACCCCAGCCCGGGGCTGCCTCCCCAGCAAGGGGAAACCTCTCGATGTGTGGCTGGGAATGCAGCCCTCAGGGGCACTTACCCCTCGGTGGGCTGGGGGAGCTGCTCCTTTTCCTGCTGGCTGCAGAAAGCCATTGCTCTGGGCACTGTGACTGCTGAAAGCCATCACCTGGGCAGGGGAAGATGTGGGAGGGTCAGGGCCTCCCCAG